GCGACATTTTCTGAGAGCTTTTCATTGTAGCAGAAAAAGTTAGATGCGACATTTTCTGAGAGCTTTTTATTGTAGAAACCGAAAATTAAAAATTCGAATCGGTGAAATGAACGAAGCCTAAGTTTTCAATTCCAGTTTTGTTAAAGTTAAAAGTTCTCATAAAAAGCACATCTAACTTTTTCTGTTACAGTTAAAAACTCTATCATAAAATTACATCTCAACTCAAATCAACGAACTGAATAAGACCTAATTATATCCAAATGGACCAATCAGACACCACGTACGCACTCTAATAAAGATTTTTTTTTTTCTAAAACATGGACACAAGAAAATATGTGGAAAAAACACAAATAAGATAACGCAAATAAAAAAAAAAAAACACACTGCCATAATTTCCCTATTATTTAATTCCAGTTCTGTTTTCTTCATTCCAAAAAACCAAATTAAGCCAGAAAAAACCCGCAAAAAGACCTCGAAAGAACAAAACTCGACTCATGGGGAAAACCTTTATTGGGTAAATTGCTTGCAAAATGACCTCCAAAGAACAAAACTACTTGATTATTGGGGTAAATCCAACAACGGCAACAAATCTATAAGTTGTATACACGAACAATTAATAGAGTCTGCCACGAGCAATTAACAATTGATCAATCACATGCCCCCACAATGTATGTGTCCATGATATACCGATCAATTAATTGTTGAATGAAACCAATAGTTAACTACAAATAGACATAGTGAATGCATCTTCACTTTTTGACGATTGATATACATACACCAACCGTCAAATTATTTTTAGTATGAGCTTTATATTTCTCTCTTCTTTTCTATTTCTCACTCAGGCATTAGAAACATATCACGACAAAGTTGAAGCACAATCCACACAATAGTTTCCAACATAATCCTTAGCTTCAACAAAAAGATAGCCTTAGCTACATCTCCAACAAGTGTGATATCTCAAGCTGAACTTGAAAAAAGTAGCAACAGTATAAAATCTGACATTTCTTGTCTTTGCACTTCAGAGAACTTAGAAGAAGAAATGCTTTGACACACGAAGGGAAAGGAAAAAAAAAAGAAGAAGGAGAGCAACTCAAAAAACCATAGCAGGCAACGACCCAACGGAAATAGGAAAGGAAAAAGAGGAGGAAAAAAAAAAAACAAAAACAAAACAGAGGAGGCAATGAAAGAAAACCCATAACTTATCTGGGCTCTGATTATAGGGTTCAAAGGAATCCAAACATTGTCCACAAAGAAATCCAAAGAGAGAGAGAAAAAAAAAATAAAAGCAAGAATTTCAACCCTGAACGAATTCAACAACAAAGGGGCTGAAATATCCGGAACTAAATTGGAGCAGCAAACAAAACCCAAAACAAACAAAATCCCAAAACAAGAAAGCATAAAGGAGAAGTTAAAACCTGAAAGAGAAAGAACCGTCCACGAGAGGAAGCGAAGAAGGAAAGCAAAGAACCAAAAATGAGGGAAAAGGAGAGCGTGAGGCGTGAGTTTGTGAGGATCTTTAGTCATAGATAATTGGCTATAAGTTGTGAGGATCCAAAGTTGATCTTAGTATTACTTGATTAAACGGATCCAAATAGTTAAAATCTCTTAGAAAAGTTATGTTCTACAGCTTCATCCTAAAAACGATAATGACACCATCCCATCAAAACGACACCCTAATTTACAAACTACAACATTCTTCAAAAAAGACAACAATGACAATACACACGGAAAAAGAAGCTTTAAACCGAAAATTTTGTACAAAGAGAAGAATAAAAATCATGAAAGGAAAAGTAAATTCTTTAAGATATCCACTGAAGAATTTCTACAAAAATAGTTCTACAATCATTCATTCACAGTTCATAGATTCAACATATCTTTCCTTCCAAACCCAAAATTTAAATTGATATCTAAATGCAGAAGCATAAATTAAAAAAATAAAGTATTGTTAAGTTGACACTATATCAACAATGATTTTAATCACGTTTGATTTAATAAAATAAGTACAAAATAGAAAAAATCACGTTTACTTACCTTTAAATTGTCAATCTTGTCAAACGCACATTGCAGCGCTCCCTCTCCACGCTCAGGGTGCGTTTAGTTATAGTGACGGAATGGTAATGAGAATGGTAATGGGACGAGCAGGCTTTTTTTGCTTGTGGCTTGACTTTTATGATCATACCTATGGGACGAGCAGGAGGATTCTTCTTCCCAGCTGCCTTCTGTTCCTGCAGGCAGAAACAGATTGCATTTAGCTGCCACCACCTACAAATGACGAATACCAGAAACAAGACGAGAACAGAACTCTCCCTCTTTCTCCCTCACGCACAGGTTGCATTTAAAGACCAAAGCTCCCACCTATCACAAAGAGCCTAACAAGAAGAGACTGGCTTTCTTTTCACACATTCCATTAGGAAAGACTACCTGAATAGGCGTTAAGGTCACTACAACTATAAATCCCTCAACTAAAAGCCTGTTTCATTCATGAACTATTACCAACCTTTGATGTTTCTGCAGGTTTGTAAATGCAAAATCACCTAGAGAAAATTCAAACGGAACATAAACAAAACAAATAAGAAACCAACCTGGACTACGGGAACAGGAGGCGTTTCCTTAAGCTCGTGTACAATCATAGACTGTACTGCTACTGCTGCCTGAATCGGAAAGAAAAACATTAATGACTTGACATGATATAAGGTGAAATGATTCACAAGCACCACATTGGTTCCTTTAAGGGGGGAAAAAAAATGAAACCGTGTGAAAGTATTTGTGACTGCCAAAGGAAACTATGTTTGGAAGATAAGATGCTTGGCAATAACTATGTAAAAAAAAAGGGCAACATAATGATCAGCACATTTAGGCTGCACTCCGCAGAAGTTTATTACATCCCTAAAGCATACATAAAAAGCATAAACATGGATGCAAACATACATTTACATGGATGCATAGCAGAAGTAAGAACGAAATCAAACAAAAGAATCAGTAATGCATATTAGAAGGAGAATGTAAAGTGTCATACAGTTACAATCACCTCAACCTTTCTCACGTTGTATGCATTGCATATCAAAAACCACCTTAGTGATTACTGTACCTATATAGGTTCTTTCTGTGGAAGATTGACATTTTTACCGATGTAACTTTCATCGGTTTTAGATTTTACAGACAACGAGGGCAGGGCATTATCTAAACAACATTTCCATAAACACAGAGATACTCATTGTTGCCGAGTAATAGCAGAAATTTGGGCTAATAATCTATCATACCAACTCTAATTGATTCTACTTAGTAATATTAATAACAATCTGAAAATACAATAATCTTAGTTGTTCTCTTACAAGTTCTAATTTTTCAAGAAACTCAGTCTCGTCGTCATCCAAAGCTTTAGCAGGCCCTGCGGAAAAAAAAACAAAAAACAAAAAGAGTGATGAATATTTTACCGAAACTGACATTCTTATGCTACTTTCCATCAAAAGTCTGAAACTTGATTATCCTAAATCACCAGAAAAAAATGTAATTCTAGGGCTTTCATCTTCAAGAATAAGATAGAAAGAAAGAAACATACGAATGAATAATTGAATTAGAGAATTAAAGGACAAATTAAAGATGAGATTCACCTGCTCCTCCGACACGAAATTCATAAGCCTGACGGGGGACCGCGTCGATTCTTCAGCCATCTTTCTTTCGATTTGGAAAATTGGAAATTAGAAATTAGAAATTCAAATTTCTTTCGTCCGAGAAGAGTCTGCCATTGGAACCGAGAAGGAGGTCTCGGAAAGCTTCGTTAGGGTTCGGGAATCGAGGAGAGAGAAGCCGGTGACGGGTGGTGGATGCGTAGAGAGCTCGGAGTTGGTTCGGGAGCTTCGAAGC